CAGCATCGTGCAAGGCGATTTAGTGCCACGATATCTCAGAAGCATGAGTTCGAATCCCGGCCAGGGAAGAACAAAAATCTAACATTGTTGGGCTGTTATTTAAACGAATTATATAAAATTATATATATATAACGTTGAAAAGATGCAATTACAAATAATCAGTCACATTTGAATTTGTTTGTTGTTTTTATAATACTTCCGAAAGAAGGAAACAAAACAAAATCTAGTGCACACATTGAATATACGATAAAGCTTTAAAACAAAATTAACCGAGTGCATGAAATTACTAGACTGTGAATGAACGTGCGGCTTAGAAAAGTAATCTAAGAACACATGACTTAGAAATAGTTTAAAAGAGAATACCAAACAAAATGTGATAGCTAGAGAATTTTTTGCTACCAAACTAAGAACTTGGGAGTCTCAGAATTTGATTTAGAAACACCATGGCAGCTGTAAACTTTAATTGTTGACAATGGTACTTAGAATAAATGACTTAAAAACAATTTTACTGAGAATTGTGTTTCATTATAATGAAATATATGTTATTAAGAAAATAGGTAGATTTTTTATATTCTGGCATACTCCTCAGATTGCTTAATACCCCCTCCCCCCCCCCCCCCCCAAAAAAAAAAAAGATTTTAGGGTTATATAGGAATTACAGTGTCCGTTTGTCTTTCGGTCTGGCTTCTTGTCCCCTGCATTACTGTTGTACCATAAAATTTCGGTTAACTATACTTAGTATGCAATTGCATCTAAGGCTTGGGTGTGTCATACCAAAGTCAGTTTGCTCTGACCTTGACTGTGACCCCTACCCCTTTGATAGTAAAGCCATGTCTAATGCGTATCCTGCTCACAACTTTTGTACTGTAAAACATACTAAAGTCGGTCCACTCTGACCTTGACTTTTACCTTTGACCATTTATGATAGTCAACATTGTCCAATTTGTGTCCGGTTCATAAAGTTTGTACTTTGAAACTTTGGTTTATCAAACGTAGAAGCCAGTTGCATCATGGTCTTTGGATTTATCATATCACAATGTCTGATCGCTTTGACCTTGACTTTCTCCTTTGATACCTATGATAGTAAAAACTTGTCCAATTCGTGTCTGGGTCATGTCTTTTGTACCTTAAAATTTTGGTTAGCCTAACGTGGTATGCAGTTGCATTATAGACTCTGAGGTGTGTTAAATACCAAAGTCAAATCATTCTGATCTTTCCCATTTGACCCCTATGATAGCTAAACAGTGTCTGGTTTTTGTTTGGTGCTTTACTATTGTCCTGTAACACTTAGATTGACAAAACTTTGTACGCAGAAGCATCATACTGACCATGGCATTCAACTTCAGAATTTACAGTATGCAAACCTCACACTTTGTTCCTGGCTCAAAATGATTCTTTCAGATTGACCTATCATTAACAGTGTGTCAATTTATCACAGAGGCGGAATGATTATATAAAATGAATGGCTGAAAACCAAAAATCTCAAAATGTCATTGTCTCGATGTCTGAATTTAACAGCAGCAACTTAAATGTATTACAGGGTTATAAGTACCTCTACCAATCTAGTATATATTAGCTTTTTATTCCTGTCTACACATTGCCATTGTTGTTTGAATACTTTCATATAAATTCACTTTTACTACGGTTATTGGGTTTAAGTTTGTTGTCTTATTTAAAAATAGAAGATGTGGCATTAATTGCCAGTGAAATAACTATCCATCAGAGTATAAAGGAGGAATATTTATAAGCAATTATAGGTCGCCATACGGTCTTCAACAATGAGAAAAACTTATACCATATAGTCGGCTATAAAAGGCTCTGAAATGTGAAACAATTCAAACAATAAATCTAACGGCTGAATCAATATCAAAACCACAATTTACAAATATGAAGGACATGAGTCAATAAAATGTACTAACTCACAAGCCCATGACACTGGAGGCACATAAAGAATATAACAGAGCTTTCCGAGTACTGAATTATAAAATCTAAAATAAGGTTGCAATAGAAAATATCAAAATTTTACATGATCAACATATGTAAAAAAGGTGATTTTTTATGATTGCTAATGAGACAACAATTAAGTTACAAACATCAAAACTGTGATTAAATTTTGATTTCATCGCTACAAATTTTCCACAGGTGCTATCCAGAACTTTGATTCGTACACATCATCATGCAAGGGGAATAATAATATAAAGAGTTAACCGACAATTTCTTGGTTATCTTGGTCAGCACACAGGTTCAACGGACACATTTTTCAAACTAGATAACCCAATGATGATTGTGGCCAAGTTTGGTTCTAATTGGCCGATTAGTGTCAGAGGAAAACAATTTTGTAAAAGTTCAAGGATACCGACAGACAGCAAGTGACGAGAAAAGCTCATTTGGCCCTTTGAGCCTGCTGTGCTATAAATAAACGGAGTCAAAACATGCATATGATGACAAACATTTTACTTAATTCGTTTGAAAAAGCAATCCAGTTCTGCAAATTGCTGATGAAGGCATTTTGATGCAAAATTGTAAGGACGTCACTTTCCAAAATAAAATAATGTGTATCAAAATACAATATATTATTTAACTTTAAGCAGCAATTTGGATTTAACTTCAATGAGAATGTTTCACTTTAACATTATGGGGATAAATTTTAAAATTTAGCCTGATTCAGACATACTTTCAGTTTTGCGCAAACTTTAGGCATTTATTATATGTCTGATTATCTGTTTTAGAATTAGTCATATTATTGTTATAACCTCAGTACACTCATGGAGTTCTGATCCTGTAAATTTAAGTAAAGATTAAAAGATTCTTTTTCGCAACTATTCGAAATAGATTCGGAGGAAAACGGCCCTAGGTACCTCTTATATTTTCAAAGTCAAATCTTAACTTTTATATACACACGTATGTGCTGGAATAGGAATAGGAAAAGGAAGACATATAATAATATTAGGGCGTCTGTTTGACCTTTTATCGGACTGCAAACATCTATTGAATTCATTATTCCACGTTCAAACAGTGACTTGCCATTTTTTTTCTGTTGTCCCATTCAACGTCAACTGTTAAACATGTTATTGTCTTAAATTTTATGCAAATAATTGATACTGGACGTAAGAAAAAAACTGAAAGAAATTACAGTCTACAGGAAGATTGAATTCTGTACTATTTATTTGACAGCTATCAGATATTGGGGTCATCCGAAGTAGTAGTACATCATTGCTTTGATTATTTATGTAACACTCAGAAAGGTGTCCATCCCCCTTAACGTGTCAGATTCCCCCAAACGTGTCCATAAGACGTCACTGTACTGCAAAACATGCTAAAAGGAACCAAAGTATGCCCTTTTTATGAACGCCTAATCGTGTTGATTTAAAAAAAATGCCAAAACGTGTCCAACCCCCTAAACGTGTTCATATGAGGCCAAGTCTTCCTTTTATGAACGCTTAATCGAGTCGATATTTAAAAAAATATGTCCACCTTTATTAAATAGTGATTCGTAATCTCATATGTTGTTTAAATACAAATCCAATCGAATTATTAAAGGAACCTTTGTCTTGTTTTGCTGGTGTAAAAATGGTACAGTAATTCGTTCAAAGCACAGACACCACTTCAGTAGGAAGCAAGCTATGTTATATCGTCAGATATTTTTTAAAATAGTTTAAGACAGCAACGGAGTACATTAGTACACAATAACAATTAGTAATACGATGAATGTAACTGTACAAAAATTAATAAACTGATTTTCATGTTCGCTCTAAATATGCATGACATATTTGCCCTGAACATTTAGCAATCGAGAGATATTTTTGTGTTGCACATTAGCTTGCAATCATGCTAAATATTCATTCGTCACAACTCGGCCGATTCCGTACCTTCAGAAGGAGAGTAGCGGATTCACCCGAGGATTGCCGATTGGCTAAATATTAACAACTGACGTTGAACAAACTAATGGTAATGATGACCACTTAATGATAAGTTGAAGCACACGGAACATGTTTTTGATTTCTTAAGTGTGAAGTACCTCCATTTAAAATTTAAAACAATAATAATCATATTGATAAAAAAAAATGATAAACCACTGCAAGTAAAAAAAAAATTATTGTGCCATTCTTTTTCCTTCTAGTGTCTATTTATTTTAAAGCAGAAGTCATTTCGTCTTTCACTGTGGCTTGGACATTTGGTTATATGCATAATTACACATTTACTCGTAATATCCTTGCATAGAATTACAATAATCAAACACAATTGGGGATGTGAAATCAGACACGTTTGGGCGATATGGGATATTAAGGTCACGATAGGGCGAAATAGACACGTTTGGGGATATCGGGCACGTTAAGGGGGATAGACACGCTTGGGAGTGTTACATATATATTCATTAGTTGTGCAAAGAGACATCTTGTCTATGAGCTTATAAATACATTTCACAGTTCAATTTGATCAAAAATCATTATTTAGTTTTTTCATTCTTTCACTAAAACTTAATATTGTGGAAATGTCAATCATCCACATCTACTATGCTTAGTCATTTTTCCAAAGACGTTCTGTTTGAAAAATTGTGAAATAGAATTAAATGTCAACCGGCTGATCAATGAGCAAAATAGGATCTATAGGATAGGATGTCTGTCACGATAAACTTCAATATATTGTTCTTTCAACCATGTATTCGAAAGTACTACAGACATTGTCTGTAAACACCAACCTTACTACTAGTCAACCAGTTAATTGGTCAAAAGTAGTTAGATAAAATTGTTCAATTAAACAACATAAAAACCTTTAGGCATATGGCAATATGCAGATTAGCCATAATAATGAAGAAATTTTAATTTACAGCTAACCCGCCTGAGGAATATGGTCGCCGTTCAATGAGAGAGCAACATTGCCAGGGAGCGCTGTTACTATAATATCAGATGATTACATACACTTTTCATAGCAAATGTGTTATCAGTCCAATGCCAAGACATCAGCCCAAGAGACAAAGGCTATATTGACTTCAACATTACCTTTTTTGGAATCAAAATTGCTCCCGCTCACAGCCATTTTCTCTTTTCCCTTTGCACCTTTTCTATCTGTAGACATGTTTTTCTTTCCAAATTCTTCAAAATGAGGACCTGTAAATACATGCAATTTCTTTTAATACAATGCATTTCTATCTGTGTCACAATGCTCATATGATATATAATATTCATTATAGAATAACTAATTCAAGAATTCAAATATATAAAAATATTCAACAAGTGACCGAACAATACATAAGTTCAGCAATTTGTAGTGCATGGGTTAATTATCAGTTTTGTTCGGTCATAAGTTGAATATCTTTTCGTTTCTTAATTCTTCAATTAGTTATTCATTTTAATGATTTTTATTTAGGGATGTCAACTCGGTGAAGATTTACTAATCGAGTACTCGTTAGATTTACCGAGCGAGTACTCGAGTATCGCCCGGAAAAACATATACAAATGGAAACCCAAATGAAACTCAATTTACGAATCGTGGGAAGTTGTCTTATGGACGTAAAACCATCAACATTAATACTAAGGACTAGATAATATCCCCAGGAATTTTTTACCATGATAGATAGCTCATTTACTACATGTACTAATTATGTAAACAGACAATAATCTAATCGAAAAATTAATAAATATCTATAGAAAATTGATTACTAAAACAACAGTATTTGGGAATCGTTAAGAAACATATTTATGATCAACTAAGGGGTGATGATTAGAACTTTATTCATTCTGTGAGGGTCGACACAAGGTGCAACGAATTTGTTTTTATTTAGAAATATTATCTTGGCAACTTGTTTTCTGGAACGAGTCAATTTATCAACTTTGTTACGTAACTAACAGTCCTGCTGAAGGAAATATTTGCCCTGGCGGTTAAGTGGTGGAAGAATGACTAAGACATGCTTTCCTGTGATGTTATCTGAAAAACTCAAAACTTTTTATATGTGTTGAAGGCCGTACTTAGACCTATGATGGTTTACTTAACAAATTTTGACTTGGATGGAGAGCTGTCTCATTGGCACTCAGACCACATTTTCTTATATCTAACTTGAACCCAGCCTAAGTGTGGTATTCAATATGTGGGACAGACGGGACGAGAATATTACAGAAGAAATCAAGAGCTTTTTATCGCTTTCGAAGACCTAAAATATTCAAAAGTTTGATATACCAACATTTAGATAAGCATAATCACAATTTAAAATTTATAAAATTCCAACCACTTGAAAGCGTTCAGAAACAACCAGGACAATCAAAGAAGCAATTTGAAAAATCCCGTGAGTTTCGCGAACTGTTTTGGATAAAAAGACTTCAAACAGCTTATCATCTCGGTCTCATTGACAAAATATTGGGACAGGGGAACATATCTAAAACTTCTATCGATGTCATTAATATTGTCGATAAACAACTAAGAAATAATAGGTCTCATGGTAAACGCAAAAACCGTTATCAACGTATTTAATATCGTATAAATTTTACACTTGCTGATCTGTTATCTATAATAGAAAATAATGGTAGACATCAAGTATTATGCAAATTGGGTCATATACCAATAAGTAAATTATGTGGTATTTTTCAGGAGTGTGATAACATTTCATTTTCACCCCGTTGTATGAATACAACCGTATTACTACAGCCTTTTGTCATCACAGGTTGTTTCCTAGTATCGATAAACCTGAAAATTATAAACGGCATGTTCTTAAATGAAAATATATAAATAGAGGTATTGATTTTATTAACGTATCTAGTATATTCAATGGCTCTACCATCCATAGCCAAATACCTCCATATTTTGATAATACAGAACCACCTATTATTCCGTATTCTTATAAAGAAACCCAGTAGAAGTTTGATTTTTAATTATACGTTAGTTACATCAAACGTCAATATAGAAAATAATGCTCCTTCCACTTGAGACTAAAACATCTAGTTTTAGATATGTTCCCTATGGTCATGTCATTACAAGAGACCTCAACATCGTCGAAGACCTTGAGGTCAAAACTTTTCTTAAGAAAGGACCTACATATCGTCCCCCATCAATGATAGATTGGAAACAGTGTCGTCAGGTCTTTGGAGACGTTCTATCTGCTTACTGTAAAAACGCGTGTAAACGTGAAAGATCTGATAAAAAATCTATAGACAGTTATTTGGATATAATTATGAATACTGTAGATATTCGTATATCTCATTTTGAAAACAATTCTGAAATTAATAATAGGGTCCATTATACACCCATTTTTTGAATAAAAAATAAACTTCAAGTACTCGCAAAGCTGTTTGTGTTCGTACCGGCAGACAAAGGAGCCAATAATGTAGTGGTGGTGTGACGCAGATACTACACGGCTATTCTCCAAAACGAAATTATCAATTCGTCTACATTCAGGTCCGTACGCTCCAAAGAGAATCAAATTGTAAACAAGCATATCACTGCCACTACCCAGCTTAAAGCCTCTTCCGAACATTTCAATGTCCCGACTATGTAGTGGTTACCTAAATTACACAAACATCCATTTAAATTCCGTTCATCTCCGCATCTAGTAAGTGTTCTGCTACTAATTTGTCAGTGCTTCTAACTACCTCCCATACTACTTTCAAAGAACTTGTTATTAACTTTTGTAATAAAGCTTATGAAAATAATGGTATTAACTATTTTTTGAGTATTAAAAATTCTTTAGAGGTTTTAGATAAAATACGTGCTATTGATGGTCCTTTTAATTCTGTTGACAGTTGTGATTTTTCTACTCTCTACACTACACTTCCACACAATTTTATCAAGAAAATGTTTGTATATTTAATTAAATGGTCTTTTGAAAAATCTCATTGCAAATTTATTTGCTGTAACTAGTTTAAAGCCTTTTCTGTAACGAAAAAGGAAAGTATGCTAGATACACTTACTGGAAATGTGAAGATATGATTGAAGCTCCTGGACAACATTTATGTACGTTTCGGCGATAAATTGTATCGACAGGTAGTAGGTATTCTTATGGGCACTAACTGCGCCCCTTTAATAGAAGATTTATTCCTGTATTGCTATGAATCTCTGTTTATGACCTAAATCAGTAAAGACTCATAATTGTTACATTTGGTTGATACATTCAACAATACCTACTGTCATCTTGATGATATTTTTTCGTTGAATAATCCAGAGTTCAGTAAATATTCTACCGAAATTTACCCAAAGGAACTTACTTTAAATACATTTAACATAAATAGCAGTATAAAGTGTCCTTTTCTACATTTAGACATTTCAATTTCTAAAGGGAAACTCCGTACTAAAATTTACGACAAAAGAGACGATTTTTCATTCCCTATTGTTAATTTTCCTTTTATAAACGGCGATGTTCCTTTGGCTACATCATACTGTGTCATATATCCCAACTCGTTCGTTATGCCCGTGTATGTAGTTATGCCATAAATTTTAATGAACATTTTAGGCCTCGGATAATTATGATGACACCAGACGATATTATTAAGGGTTCATTGAATTGAACAGAACATAAAATTGTACTTTAAGACGGGTTCATGTAAAATTAAAAGGCCCAAATAGATGCACACAAAAACTTAGACAACAAGAAAAGAAACATACCCCCACCCCCACCCCTTTTAAAAAAAAAATGCCCTGCTCCTTTCTATTTCTAGGTGAAGCACTGTAAAGAAATATTTGATTATTTCATGATTATTAGCTCCTCATGAAACTAATTAATTCAAACATATACAAATGTGTCCCCGCTCAGTTGTCATTCCAATTCAAATTTACAACCCCCTATCATATTCAAATTTTTGCTTCTCTATTTTATTTTTCAGTTTGCATGGTGAACAGATAATGTGTATTACTCTGATAATAATGAGGCCTCGGATAATTATGATGACAGCAGACGATCTTCAGGGTTCATTGAATAGAAAATTGTACTTTAAGACGAGTTCATGTAAACATTGAGTTTCCAGAAATTGGTGCTTGAAAATATGTCTATCATCACGGCATTCAGTTCTATATGTATTTAATATCAACAATAACATACAAGCAACTCAAATGGCAATATTTGTTTTTTTGTTTGTGCTTTTGTTTAATATATGAGGGTATGAATTGGGTTAGCAGAATAGAGAATAATGTACAAAATATGCAGAATAATAGGCTTAAAATTTAAAGAATAGAGAAAAATAGGCAAAAAAAAAAAATAGAGAATAATGAGGTGCTGAAATATAGAGAATTTAGAATAATGAGCAAAATCTATAAAGAATAGAGAAAAATTGAAGAATACAGAATTGAAGGACCCCCCATCCAGACCCTAGTATATATATATAATGATAAAATGCAATTACAATTAATCAGTGAAATTTCAATTTGGTTGTTTTATATAATACTTCCGAAAGAAGGAAACAAAATAAAGTCTAGTAGCTCTATAATCATTGCACACATTAAATATACGATAAAGCTTTAAAACAAAACTAACCCAGTGCATGAAATTACTAGACTGTCAATGAACTTGTGGTTTCGAAAAGTAAACTAAGAACACATGACTTAGAAATAGTTTAACAGAGAATACAAAAAAAATGTGATAGCTAGAGAGTTATTTGCTACCAAACTAAGAACTTGGGAGTCTCAGAATTTGATTTTAGAAACACCATGACAGCTGTAAACTTTATGTGTTGACAACAGCACTTAGAATAAATGACTTAAAAACAGTTATCTGCGTACAAAGTTTTGTCAATCTAAGTGTTGCAGTTCCCTGCTTCACCAGGCAAGATATGTAAATTTGAAAAAATATTAAACTTTGAAAGTTCTAATTCTGGATACTTTTCAATCCAATAAGATTCTGATACAGGAGATTTTCCAACAAGTTTTATTAAGAGATTATAAAATGTTCGAGTACTTTGTGGCATAGGAACTTGTTTATGTTCAACAGAAAAAGAAAAACAATCTGCAGTTATTTAAAAATTCTTTGCAACTGGATTGGCATTGTCACTGATAAAATGTATCCATTCTGGATGCTAACTGACAAGCAATTTTTTTTTTGCAGACATCATCGTATTTCAGATCAGGATATTTCTCAGATAAATTTCATGGATTGCAATGAATTATACAAAACCAGGAATAACTTCATACGTTGAACAAACTAAGGGTAATAATGACCACTTAATGATTAGTTGAAGCACACGGAACATGTTTTTGATTTATGAAGTGTGAAGTACCTCCATTTAAAATTTAAAACAATTATAATCATATTAATAAAAAAAATGATGAACCACTGCAAGTAAAAACAAATTATTGTGCCATTCTTTTTCCTTCTTGTGTCTATTTATTTTAAAGCAGAAGTCATTTCATCTTTCACTGTGGCTAGGACATTTGTTTATGTGCATCATTACACATTTACTCGAAATGTCCTTTTATAGAATTTGATCTTTTTTAGAATCTTGTCACCAAAACCCGACGTCTTTTACCGTGTCCGCTATCACTGAATTGCCGTACACGTTTTTTATTTTACTGAAGACATGTTAGCGCTAAAAGTTTTGAGACGTTGTTTCGATTTTAATTGGACACGTTTTGTCAAATAACAATTATCAGATACGTTTGGGCGATTTGGGATTTTAAGGTCACGGTATGGTAAAATAGACACGTTTGGGGATATCGGACACGTTTAGGGGATAGACACGTGTGGGAGTGTTACATATATATTCATAAATTGGCACAGAGACATTTTGTCTTTCAGATTATAAATACATTGCATTGTTGTAAGTTGATCAAAAATCATGATTTAGTTTTTTCTGTATTTCACTAAAACTTAATATTGTGGAAATGTTAATCATCCACATCTACTATGCTAAGTCATATTTCCAATGAAGTTCTGTTTGAAAAATTGTGAAATAGAATTTAGTGAATAGCTGACCATGAGCAAAATAGAATCTATAGGATAGGATGTCTGTCACAAAAAACTTCAATACATTGTTCTTTTAACCATGCATTGTAAAGTACTAAAGACACTGTCTGTAAACATCAACCTTACTACTGGTTAACCAGTTAATTTGTCAAAAGTAACCAGTTCGATAAAATTGTTCAATTTAACAACACTAATAAAAACCTTTAAGCATATGTTAATATGCAGATTTACCATTATAATGAAGAAATTTTAATTTACAGCAAACCCGGCGGAGGAATATGGTCGCGGTTAAATGGGGGAGCAACATTGCCAGAGAGCGCTGTTACTATAATACCATATTATTACATACACTTTTCATATCAAATGTATTATCAGCCCCATGTCAAGATATCAGCCCAAGAGACAAAGGCTATATTGACTTCAGCATTACCTGGTTTGAAATCAAAATTGCTCCCACTCACTGCCTTTTGCTCTTTTCCCTTTGCACCTTTTTTATCAATAGTTTTTCCTTCCAAATTCTTCAAAATGAGGACCTGTAGATACATGCAATTTCTTTTAATACAATGCATTTCTATTTCGGTCACAATGCGAACATGACATATAATATTCATTATAGAATAACTAATTCAAGAATTCAAATATAGAAAAATATTCAACAAGTGACCGAACAACACATTAGTTTAGCAATTTGTAGTACATTGGTTAATTATCAGTGTTGTTCGTTCATGAGTTGGATATCTTTTCGTTTCTGAATTCTTGAATTAGTTATTCATTTTAATGATTTTATTTAGGGATGCCAACTGTGAAGATTTACTAATCGTGTACAGAGTATCGCCCGAAAAAACATATACAAATGGAAACACAAAATGAAACCCAATTTATGAATCGTGGGAAGTTGTCTTATGGACGTAAAACCCTCAACATTAATACCTAGGACTAGATAATATTCCCAGGAATTTTATACCATGATAGATAGCTCATTTACTACATGTACTAATTATGTAAACAGTCAAGAATCTAATCGAAAAATTAATAAATATCTATAGAAAATTGATTACTTGAACAACAGTATTTGGGAATTGTAATGAAACATATTTATGATCAACAAAGCGGTGATGATTAGAACTTTAACCATTCTCTTAGGGTCGACACAGGGTGCAACGAATTTGTTTTATTTAGAAATATTATCTTGATAAATTTTCTGGAACGAGTCAGTTTATCAACTTTGTTACGTAACTAACAGTCCTGCTGATGAACATAATTGCTCTGGCGGTACAGAGGTGGTAGAATGAATAAGACACGATTAGCTAATAGTGTAGGCATTGGAAAGGTGGTATTGTTCATAGTGCATGAGGAAATTTTAAATGACAATTAAACGCAAACATTAGAAACATATTTCAATTTCGATTATTATTTAATTTCCCGCGGCCAGGAGGCGCTCTTAATAAAAATATTTGTTCTTTTAGAAGGCAACAACATTCTAACAAAAAAATCGAATACTCGTTGACATCCATAATTTCATTACGTTGACCATGGACTTTTTAATAGAAAATAAAGTAAAATATGGAAGGAACTATATCTTTCTTCTATGCATTCTCAATTGTATTGATGCAACATCATCCACAAAATCTTAACAACACCCATTATTGTATGATGTCAGAGGAGTCAATTTATCTGATTTATTTTATATGTTAAACTATCAGGTTTTATTTCACAGGGAAATCACAGTAATTCATTGCAACCAATGCAGTTCTTTGACTTCAAAAATTTCTATTAAAAAAAGAAGGAGTAAATTTATAAGTATAATACCATACTCTTCCATCATAAAGACTCAGAACTTAAAGCTTAAAGTATCACTCTATGAATAGCTCTAATGTAAGAGAAGCACACATGTCACACAAACAATTAATATATCAAACACACCATGTTGACTATTTTCTATTTATAAACTTCCATATAGTCAAAGCTGTTTATATATGAACTGTGCTAACAAATTTTCCAATTTGTGCAAATGACAAAGTACATGTTATGATATGGGAAACCCCCTAACATCCTATGTGGAAGGCATTGCTTTGCACTAATTTTGGAAAAATGCAGTATTTCATTTTGGGTTAAAGGCTATATTTTACTTGGGCTAAAAACTAATTTATGCGCCTTTTTTGCAGGCACCATAAATGACCATCAAATATTCAGTGTAAGTTTTGTATCCATAATAAGAAGCTCATATAAGATGTGTTGTAGAGTAATTGAGTTCATTGAGTATATACTGTACTGAACATGCTGAAAGTCACTAAGGTAGGACATTGAACAGTGTACACATTTCTAGTTAACACGATAAACATATTAATACAATCTGAGATAAACATCTAGGAAATAAGTCTATATTTTTTATGACAACACATTTATATTATCCAAGAAGTGACAAATTTTTTTAGATGCAAAGAACCCCGAATCACTTTGAAAACTGGTGGGGACAATTATTATGCAAACAAAAACTGTAGATTATATTGTTTTTGCCCTAATAATCAAAACTTTAAGGAACCTATCCTGCTCATATTCTCATACTATACCTCCCCAAGTTTACTATGAGTACATGTAAAATGAAATGCTGAAGAATGATAGAGATAAATACAAGTAAATAAAACAAGCGATGAGCTGTCAAACTTTTTTTTTTTTAATTTGAAAAGCGCTTATAGACTTTTTTGACCTGTCTCATTCTATGCCTATTTCAAATCTATCAAGGACCATTGATTAGGTAACTCCTGAATGGCAAAAATCATCAGTATCAAACTTGACCACAATTGTGTCATCAGTAATAGCATATTAAAATTTTAAAGGGATTGGTTAAACGGTTCATAAGTAATTGCAAGGAAAACGCATAAAGTCCAAATTTCAAATCTATCAAGGATCATAACTACTTAACGGCAAAAATGTAAATCGTCAATATCAAAATTGACCACCATTTTGTCATCCGTTACAGCATATTAAATTATAAGAGCATTGGTTGAACAGATCATAAGTAATTGCACAGAAACAACATCAAGTGCAAATTTCCAATCTATCAAAGACCATTCATAACTCCTAAACGGGAAAAATGTAAATCATGAATATCGAACTTGACCACCATTACATCATCAACAACATATCATTATTTGAAAATAACTTGTAGAAGGGTTTATAAGTTATTAAAAAGAAATGACACAGAGTGCCGTTTTCTACGTATACTACATCAAGGACCATAATTTCTGAAAAGTAGAAGTAAAAATCATCAATATCGAACTCAATATCATTTATACTACATGTATTTATACCTAAACTATTTATCATTCTAGCAAATATATTGCCAATTAGTGGAATCAAAGCTCAGACTGTCTAATCAAAAATTAAAACAAAGCTAATCCAAATTTGTTACATTCTTCTGTCAACATTCTGAGATTTTGTGTTAAAAAAAATAAATGTAATGAGAGACGGACATAGGAACAGTACCTTGATAGCAAGATGTACAACTGGAAAGCCCTAGGTTACTATAAGCCTTTTATCTACAAATGGAAGTAACGTTTGACTTTTGTGGTTTATATATTATTTTGCAATCAAAACTTACTATTTACACCAATCCTACCAATTAAAAAAAAAAAACAAATAATGGTCCTGTAATATTGTATCAGAAACCAATGCAAATATTCATATTCTTATTCCAGTCAGCATGTACACGTAGTAGCTGCGGAACCGTAGCTCATAGGTCCTTTTGATATTTCTTGACAATTTGCGGTCCGCAAATCCGCAAATTGTCAAATATATTATAAGGAATTATGAGCTACATTTCTGCAGCTAGTACACGTAGTTTACATAAAAGCTTTTTAAAAATATATACAAGTGGTTGTCGTTTGTTGCTATATTACATATTTGTTTTTCGTTCATTATTTTTTACATAAATCAGGCCGTTGGTTTTCTCGATTGAATTGTTTTACATTTGTCATTTCGGGGCCTGTTATAGCTGACTTTGTGGTATATGCTTTGCTCATTGTTGAAGGCCGTACGGAGATTTTAAAAAGGCTAACGTCATTCTGTCGGCCTGTTCAATATAGTTTTATAAGAATTCTTCGACTGTTTTATAAATTGTTTATATATTCCGTTATTGTAATTCTTATTCAATGTTATGAATTTCAGTCTCGTTTAATTTTCTTATTACCCTTAATTAATCATGATTTTACGAAATGGCAAAAAAACAAAATACACCAATCCTTCAATGGTATTTATGTGCTAAAAAAACCTCATTTCCAATATAAATTCAATCGGAGTCAATCGAAATTCACCTTCTAAATATTAGCACTTTTTACAATTGTGTCAAAGGTAGGTGGCAATGCTGCTGTAGCCAGATTATCAATTGAAAATGCACGGCGATATCCAAGAATAATCCCGTGCAATGCCAGAAAATGACAAACCTGATCTAGATTATCTTCTGATAATACTGTTAGGTCAACAGTGAACGGGAGAGATTGTTTCGCTTTCCTTTTCCTGTGACATTACATGAAAAACTCAAAGCCTCATTTATCTGGTTACTTGAACAAAACTTTAAACGAACACCGGAACATCTAAACAGCTTCCTAAAACCTAAGAAATTCAAAAGCATAATTTACCAACATGTAGGTAAACCAAACCACAATATTAGATTTATAAGATTCCAACCTCTCGAAACGATCCAAAAACAACAAGGGCAATCGCATAAACAAGTTGAAGATTCCCGTAAAATTATTGAACTGTCTTGGATTAACGACTTCAGACAGCTTATCCCTTGGGTCTAAATGACAATATACTTGGACAAGGGAACATATCTAAAACTTCTTCTATTGATATCATGAATATTGTTGATAAAAATCAACGTAATAATAGGTCTCATGGCAAACGCATCAATCGAAATCAACGAATTAAACATCGTATAAATTATACACTTGATAATCTCCTATCTATATTTAAAAACAATGGTAGGCATCAATTATTATGTAAACTGGGTCAACTACCAATTAGTAAATAACATGATATTTTCAAGGAGTGTGACACAATCTCTTTCTTCAGCCCACTCTATGAATATTCGAGTATAATTACAGCTTTTTGCCACCATAAGCTGTTCCCGCGTATCGATAAACCTGAAGATCATAAACAGCACTTTCTGAAAATTAAATACCGTATAGCGGGTTATTTTTGCGGGTGTAAAATTTCGCGATTTAGGGGCAACTAAGTATACGAAAAATTTTGACGGTTTTTGTTTTGGTGGATTCTTAAATCCCAATTAAATATTTTGGTGGATACTGAAATTGTAGCAGTTAAAAAGTTGTAAAACTTGACAAACAAGTGTCTATTGTTATGGTTAATTGATGTTTTTTTACCTCTTATATATTGATTAGATTCTGATACAGTTAATCATTAGAATACCGCTAACTTAGAATTTGTTACAGGTATTCAATCGTCTTGTAAATTTTATGATTGATTAGATACGAAATTGACCGGACCTTTGATGTACTTACTAATTAGGTTA